CAGGGTCTGCTGATATTCATGAAGTGAAAGGCTCAGCTGTTGAAATTCTTGATCTTGAAGATTCCCAGGAATCTATTGATATTCTCGATCATAAGGATTCAGAGGGAGAAGCTGAAATTTTGGATCTGAAAAACTCAGAAGCTGTAGATGATGGGAAAGACTCACAGGAAACTGTTGCTGAGGCTCAGAATACTTCAGAAGCTCAAAGATCAAAGTCTTCAACCATTTTCGATGTTACTGAGGATGCCGTGTCTGTGCAAGAAAGGTCCCACACTATAGATGAGGAACTTGCACAATTTTCTTGGCAAAATAAGTATGAGAACAACTCAGCAGTTCAAGAGAACTTTAATCGCCAAACAATCCCTGAGGAAACACTCGACAGCAAAAGGACTCAACAGCCATTGAGAGTTGCACAAATTCCGTGCAGTTATCCAGAGATTGTAACCATGAAGAGGAAGCCGTCGATAGTGTCGGGCAGCTGAACCTCGAAGAAACGACTGAAACCAAAGAATCCAGCCCAACAGATACAAATACTTCATCTAAGACAATTGCAGAAGAGTCTGCAGAAGCTATCGAATCCTTGAAAGGAACAAGAAGGATTCAGAGAGATTCGCCAGAAGAACTCTTGCTCATCACCAAAAGAGGAAACTTCTTCCAAGACTCATTCTTCCTCGACGCTCACCGAGACTTCAGTGCCGCTCTCAGGCAGGTGTTGGGCAGGTGCAATCAAGACAACTTTGAGGACGACACTGACCTCCGCCACACCGATATCCTGGAACGCTACAGGCAGCTTCGGTCTCGCGATCTGAGGGAAGAGAATCAGGCCGCTATCGTCACATCAGACAAGTCTTGTATGAAGGTTAGTCGACATTATTGTCATTGTTAGAAAATATTATTACTAAAGATTCCCCAAATAACATTTCAAAAGTAGGTATAAAAAGCTACCTATTATTTCCAGATAATTATGGACGTTCATGATTTCATGAGTGGAGATGTACAAGCGAAGGTCGTTGATGAGAAGGAGTTGGTCATCGAGGGACTTGTGGTGAAGAAGGAAGAAGGAACCTCATCCGAAACCTCTCACTCCTTCAGACGCCGCTTCTCTCTTCCACAGTTTACTAAAATCACTTCTGTCATGTCATTAGATGGCATCCTCACAGTCACTGTGATGTTTAAGGTATGTTTAATAAGTTCTATTATTGATATATCTTTTGCTGGGAGTAATCACCAATGAATAAAAAAAAAAAAAAAAAAATTACACTGCGCAAATATTGTTATAAGTTATTGTTTTGCAGGAAGGAAATGTCGAGGCAAATACTGCTGAAAACTATTAAAACTGAAGCAAAACGCATCACAAAAGAAATCATTCACTCGAAATCACCTTCACTTCCTGCTGAAAAACGTCTGCTTGAGACCAAGAATGAAAACCAAAATGGACTGAACGAGTATATGACGTCTCAGTCCGAGGAAACTCGTCATTTCCTCGAGATTTCACGTCGGGAACAAAGACGCCTTATCTTGATTGCAGTTTCGAGGACAGCAATAGACTGAGACGCTTTGGACAAGAAAGTGGCAGGGATTCTCAAGAAACTAATAAGTATAACGTCACCGAAGACGCAATTATGGAACGTCCTCTCGTTTGGCGAGTGGTTCTCTATCTAGCTTCACAGAGAAACTTTTCCTATCACGAGGAAAGGACACTTCTTCTCCCATTACTTCTTCCGAGACACAAGGGAGGATTTCCAGAAGGCCGTTAGGGAAATCCTGAGCAGATGGGGAGAGAAGTCCTGCGGTGACGAGATGACTTCCTACAGGAAACTACGAGCACGAAATATGAGGGAAGACACTCAGGCTGTGACGTCCTCGGAAGATGAACGCCATTAAGGTACAGACATAGACTAATTATATAATCTGTTTCTCTGTCAAAAATGTTATTTGAAACATCATGGTAACTCATTGCCTGAATGAACCTTTGTCATGTATTTTCTTCTTTTTCAGTTTGTCATTGATGTTCACGACTTTATGGACGTTGGAGAGATCAGCGTGAAGGCTGTGAACGAGCGAGAGTTGGTGGTCGAAGGTCACTTGGAGAAGAAGGAAGACGGTTCCAAGTCCAGCAAGCGGTTCCTTCGGCGCTTCGTTGTTCCTGGAGACATTGAGCTTGAGGCTGTCATTTCAGTCATGTCTTCTGACGGTGTGCTTAAAATTTTGGCTCCAAAGAAGGTAGGTCATCTGTGTATACGCTCGAATATATTGTTATATAAATATGTATAGGAATGTTTCTGTGCCCAGCACTGCGTTTATTTGAGGGAGTAAAGAAAATAGATATGACTAGAACTGCAAACACTTGTTCAATAAACGTGCAGAGGCGTTTGTCTAAAATACATTCTAGAAACAATCACATCAAAGTAAAATATACATAACTTTGTGTTCCGCAGGAGGGCCATAATCGAAAACATTTTTCGATTGATGTAGAAGACATGGACGATGTCGAGGCAACGGTTTCAAGGAAATTTAGAAATGGACATCGTCTCGCCGAGGAATATCTGAAGAAGAGAGATTCATCTTCTGATGACGAGGAATTAAGAGCTTTTGCCAAACAATCCAATAACCAATACCGAGTCACTTTCCAAGACGATGACGAAGAGTTTGAAGGTGGACACATGTTCAACAAGGAGACAAAGATGACAAGTAACAGCAGCAAGGATTTCAAGTATAACATTCCAAGCCTTTCTATGGAAACCAGGGTTTTGCACATAGAGAGGAGAGGTGTGTTTGCTGAAGACTATTGCTTCGCAAATGTCCGTAACAGCTTCAGCCAGGCGGTGAGAGAAGTGCTGGAAAAGGCCAGTGAATGGACCTGTCGAAGCGACGCCATGCACAACTACAGACGTCTGCGTCAACGCACCTCAAGTTGGAAAATCAGGCTGTTGGCATCTTGGACGATCAGGACTCGCACAAGGTGGGTGTGAAACTGCTTCTTACTAAAGCCTGTTTTATATCACATTTGGAATCCTTCTTTCAATTAAGACTGAATAGCTAGTTATCTAAATAACATTTTTTTCTACCTTTTCAGATCGTGATGGACGTGTTTGACTTCATGAAGGGCGACGTGACAGTGCAGTTGGTGAAGGGCAAGGAGCTGCTGGTGGAGGGTCAAGCAGAGAGGCAGGACGGAGGCAGAGTGTCCCGAGTGAGCTTCGTGCGTCGCTTCGCCTTGCCTGAGCTCGTCGAGCGAGACGCCATCAGCTGCGTGTTGTCCTCGGACGGAATCCTGACGATCACCTGCAGGAAGAGAGCAAGCGGCTACAGCGCAAGGGGATTTTGCAGCGAGAGGAAGCCCCACGTGGACACAGCTGGCGGGTGGGAGGACAAGGATGCGAAGGACTCCCTCGCGGATTGGGAAGGAGCTAGTTCTCGGGCCTTCAGCACCGGCTCTCGCTCCCGCTACCATCGCTCCTATGCGAAGCAATATTAGTAATTTCAGATTTCTACTTAAATTTGAAAATGCATATTTTCAAACAATACAGTTTTTATACACAATAGTTGAATATTTTTGTGATGTTAACTATATACAGCCTGTATATGTTGTTTCTATAAATGTTACGTCTATCAGTTTAGATACATTATGCTTATAGAGAAGCACTGTTTTGTATCACATTCCTTCTTGTAAATGCTTTAATATGGAAAAAATATATTTCTTATTGTTTAATGGCTCTCTTTTGTAAAGACAATCTCTTTCAAGAAAAGCTTTATCTTAACACTGTAAAAATAAGTTTCGTATTAAAGGAAAGAGCATAAGTAATTTACTAGGTCTATTAAGAGCCGATTTGTGATTTACATTAAGATTGATTCGTAAGTTTATTATCACCTCAGGATATTCTACCAATGCATTAATAAATAAATAAATTAAAATAAATGAGTACAGAGCATCTACCCCAAACTAAATAAACTGAAAATATGTCTAATTCAACTAATAATCTTGATAGAACATATTTTCTGGTATTCTGGCTACATTATAAAATATTGGAAGATTTGCATAGAGAAAATGTGAATGCTGAGTCGATAAAGTGATGCTTTGATACTAAATCCTTGACAGTCTATGTCTATTTCAATAGTCTCAGTATCAATAATATATAAGTATTAATGTATGTTGTTTAATTTGTTATACCAATCATTAATTCAGTAGCAAGTTTATGCGTTCATATGTTAATTAATTGTCTGTGAGATGGTATAGTCATCTTTTTGTAGTACCTTCTACAATATGTAAGATGTCAATTACTTTTATATTTTAAATATTAGCTTAACATATCTAACTGATCTACTTATGTGAATAGAATGTTGAAATAATTTTTAGATGTAACAAAATGAGTGGTCACACAAGTAAATAGTATAAAGATGTATTTGCATCTGAGACTTAATTTCTTGTTCTCAGGAAAATTTATGGAATAAGTTTATATTGGTCTTTCGAAGATAGGCCACGTGATCTGAGCTCAGACCATGAAGACCTTGAAGCATAAAAAAGTAAATACACGCATTGTAGTTGTTTCTCGTTTTGCTGTTGCTCTTCTGTATAAAAAGCTGTTAATCTGTCTAGGAACTCGCCAAATCAAAATTTGCTTTGCTTCAGCAATACAATCACTTTTATTTTTAGTGTGTCGTTGTTGATATTCAGAAAAAAATAGACTTAATTATTGCTTGCTGGAAATCTGAATAGAGACTAGTAGGTAACATAAATACTAGAAATGATATGACCTAAAGAAGAAAGAATCAGCAGGGAAAACATGCTAAACAGTACTCCACAATCAGCTACTTCTTTCATAGGAGTCCTAGCTTGACACTAAGGCAACATTTCACCGCGTCCCTGAAATTCAGTTATTTCAGTTCTGAATCATCAAATAGCACAGGTAAACTTCAACATTTTTGGCAGGGAGCGAAGTACTATTCCTACCCGCCCTCTCACACCCGCGCTACATCCAACGCTATAAAAGTGTCGGTCCCATCAGCGCCTTTCAGTATCGCCAGTACACGTCCTCCGCCTTAGTTCCTCCTCTCGTCAAGTGCTCACCCCGATGGCTTCCAGCGATGACGTGGGACTTTCCCGGTCCTCTATCAAGTGCAGGAGATGCGCAGGATCGCCTCTGAGCTCGTGGGACCTGTTCCTACCCATCACCCGAAGAGGAAGCTTCTTTCAAGACTCGTTCTTTTCGAATATACACCACGACTTCGATGCTGCCATCAGGGAGGTGCTCGGCAGGTGGAATGAACCAGATCTCAAGGTGACAGATAGCAGGGATGACGTCAGCCGCCGTTATAGACGACTTCGATCTCAGAACATGAACGAGGAGAGCCAGGCGGTCACCGTCACGTCAGACAACACAGGACACAAAGTGAGTTACACCTCAAATAATTAGAGAAGACGAATCTTATTAAAGTGGATGTTTATTTGTGAAATGTGAAAGAAAAGAAAGAAGGTAAATGTACTATGCGTCACGTATACACAGCTCATCCTATTCTGGTGCTGAAATGATACAACTTTAATGAAATAGAGTATTATTCAAAAAGGTGATTGCATTTTACCCGAGTACGTAGTTACAAATTTCTCGGTTGAACTTAAATAAATGTTTTACGAGCAGATTGTGCTGGACGTCCACGAATTCATAGAGGGAGACGTGAAAGTGAACCTGATAGACGAGCAGCAGCTGGTGGTGGAGGGTCGTGTGCAGAAGAAGGAGGGAAACTCCTCCTCCTCGAACACCTTCAGACGCATCTTCGCCCTTCCGGGAGACACTGACATGACGGCCATCATGCCCGTCATATCAGCTGATGGAATCCTCACGATCACGGCGCCCAAAATGGTAGGCCTGTGTTGCTTGCCGAGTTTTTTTTTTAATGGTCATAGAGAATTTTACATGTTAAAGGGTATACATGTACACATGTAGAATGATGTGTGTGTGTGTGTGTGTGTGTGTGTGTGTGTGTGTGTGTTGAGAGAGCGAGAGAGAGAGGGGGGGGGGAGAAAGAGAGAGAGAAAGAAATAGAAAGAGAGGGAGAGAAGGAAAGAGAGAGGGGGGAGAGAAAAACAGAGACAGAGATAGACACAGAGAATCTAAACCCCTTTCCTTCACAGGAGCAGAAATCTACCAGCATTCCCGTCAACGTGGAGGAGACTCAGACCGTTTCGTCCTCCGCCAGCGGGGAAGCGACCCTCCGAGGATCAGAGACGTCGGAGAAGGAGTGCCAGTGCTTGAGATGCTCTCTGAAAAACATCTACGACAAAAGAACTTCACAAACCGCGGATAATGCGTTGAGTTCGGCAAGATCCCAGTCTATAGATGCTCAAGTCATCCAGGATTCCTCAGCCTCCAGCGGCGCCCAGGAACAGATGCAGTCGAAACAGGAATTTGGAGTCACGGCGCCGAGGACCACGGAGGCCGTCGGTTCTGAATCTTCATCGACGGTGCGCAAGGAGAACCGAGCGGATGCCGACTCGCGCAGGATCCGTCGGGATTCTTGGGACGTTTTCTTCCCCATCACGCAGAGGGGGAGCTTCTTCCAGGACTCTTTCTTCTCCGACATTCACGACGACTTCGACATGGCTGTTCGCAAGGCCTTGAGCAGATGGAATAACACAGATCGCCGCGTCGAGAAGGACCTCCGCCAGAGTGACGTCCTGGACCGCTACAGAGAGCTCAGACCTCGCGACCTGAAGGAAGAAAACCTAGCCATCACCGTCACCTCAGACAGCACCAGCCACAAGGTACGCACCGTTCCTGCATATGAATGTTTTACTTCATACTTTTTTCTTCTTCTTCTTCTTCTTCTTTTATATACAAATGATCTGTGTAACCTTTTTTTTTTTTAGCTGGACAGTATTCCTAAATTTCCAAAATACTAGAGCATCCCCCCCAAAAAAAATGATAACAATACTACTACTACTAATAATAATAATGATAATAATAATAATAATAATAATAATAATAATAATAATAATAATAATAATAATAATAATAATAATAATAATAATAATAATGAATAAATAGATAAAATAAAATAAAATGGGAAAATACGTGTCCATTGCAGATCGCGCTGGACGTGCATGACTTCGTGGTCGGGGAGATGAAGGTCAAGGCGGAGGGAGATTACGAGCTGGTGGTGGAGGGGCGGCTGGAGAAGGGCGAAGAGGGAGCTTCGGGCACCTTCAAGCAGCACTTCACGCTGCCCGAAACGGCGGACATGTCAGCCGTCAGCGCCGTCATGTCCTCCGATGGCATTCTCACAATCACTGCCCCAAAAAAGGTAATTTGACTGGCTCATAACTACAACATATGTATGTGTGTGCATATATAACTACAAACCTATATACGTACAGATACGCATAAAAATATCGGTAGAAAATCATGCTGAACATTCTGACACAAGCAACTATACTTTTTGAAATATAGTTGTCAACGCTACAAAACTGTTGGTATCCCTGATTTCTCAGTTACTTTTGAGTACGTGTATCTTATCTGAATATTGCAAGGCATATTCCATCCCATATGTACGTATGTATGTATATACATATATATGTATATATATGTATATATATACATACATAAAATCATCCTCTCGCTGTGAATTCACCGGAACGACCATATGAATCAAACGAGACAGATTCGAAATAAATACCATCACTTCCGTAACATATTTTGTTCGATAATGATATACCCTTGCGTATAGCTGTACATGTATACACAGGTTCATACATATATATATATATATATATATATATATATATATATATAATATATCATATATATATATATATATATAGGCGTGTGTGTGTGTGTGTGTGTGTGTGTGTGTGTGTGTGTGTGTGTGTGTGTGTGTGTGTGTGGTGGCTATGACTGTTGTGCGGCAGGTCTATATATACATACATATATACATACTATATCATGTTGGCAGAGCCTCCCTTGCTTGACTGTTTGCACTTTCTGAAGGTCAGCGGTGCCGCCGATGTGTCTCTGCCAGTCAGCTGAGAGTGGCTGGCAATGCATAATCCTTAGATCTTTCAGTTACAAAGCCAGCGCTCTGACAGTGAACTCTGCCACCATCACAGACACAGTCCTCACACAATCACAGCATTCACTATTACACAAAAATTATTTGTTTTATTAATCTTACCTTTGACTTGTTCACCCAACAGGCTGAATTTCAGCAAAAGACCAAGATCATCCCCATTGAGGTTGAAGAGGAAGCACAAGGAGCAGAGCCTCTCCCGGCGTCCGTCTCGATGCCAAACGTCCCTCTGGCCAGCACGACCTCGTCCTCGAAATCCTTCGTTAGTCAGGGCGTTGTTGAAGATAGCGAGACTCTTCGAAGACAAGAGGGTGTTAAGATTCCGATAAATGAAGAATCCGAGACAAGTTTCGAAGAAGGCCAAATGATGCGTCAGAACGTCACTCAGGTCCCTTCGGGCGCCGTATCGGAATCTCGAAAGGTTGTCATTAGCGGCTCTGATATCGGCGAAGCGAGCGAGGAAGCTTCCGTCTCCAGGAAGAGTCACCTCTCCTTCGAGTCGCAATCCACGAGGGACAAGGCAGGGGAGATCTGCACGTCAGGGAACCGCCTTCCGATCGTCAGAAGGGGACTCTTCTTTGACGATTCCTTCTTCCAAGACACCAGGAAGGATTTCCAGAAAGCGATAAAAGAAGTGCTCATGAGATCGGGAGAGGAGTCTTCAGCCGTCGACGAAATGGCCTGTTACAGGAGCCTCCGATCTCGTCACTTAGGAGATGATACTCAGGCTGTCACGTCTTCAGAGGATGAACGTTATCATAAGGTAGGGAGACAGAGAGACAGTATGAAGTCCCTACAAATAATTGCCTTAATTCAGCATTTTAAACATCGTCTAAAAATACGATGGTAAAAATACCATCTATTTTTCAGTTCATTCTCGACGTTCAAGATTTTGTTGACGGAGAGGTCAATGTTGAGGCTGTGAGCGATAGAGAGCTGGTGGTGGAAGGCCGCGTCGAGAGGGAGGAAGGGGGAGCAAAGTCGACCAAGCGCTTCCAGCGACGCTTCCTCGTCCCAGGACACTTCAACCTTGAGGGCGTCGATTCTTCCATGTCCTCTGATGGTGTGCTGACAATCACGGTTCCTAAAATGGTGTGTTTTCACTAAGATCACACTTATCCAGGAATATTCTAATGCAATACTTGATGTCAAGAAAACTTTACAAAAATGATATATAAAAGCCAGAACACAATGAAAATCCTCTCTCCGTTTTAACAGGAAATAGGTGGCAGCTTGGCTCACGAATCCCACGTGTCTGCCTTATCAAAATCTTCACTTGAATCTATAGGTCAAGATCCCACTACCGTCTTAACAACTGTAAGTTGTTTCGCATGACATTAAGAACGGACCTTCATATGACTCTGGACGAGAATATTATTATGTGTACATATATCTATACTTTATATTTAAGCGCAAACACCCACGCATATAAAAATATGTTTAATGCTGTATATGTTGACATACTAGCATATATCTTCGGTTTTCAGATGAGAAATATAAAGGAACAAATCATCCCACTCAATGTAGAAGACAGTGAACGTGAAAACGTCGCTCACTTCGGCAGCTCCTCTGTGCAGGTCTCCGACGAAGCACATAGAGCAGGTTATACGGCTTCCTCTGAGGATGGAGATATGTTTATCGCAGTCGTCAAGCAGCCTGACTACCACTATAAGGTCGTTGCCCAAGAGGGGGAGGGCGAGGAAGCGCTTGGCAACGGACACCTGGACATCCAAGCAACGCAACAGCAGAGAACCGACCTTGGAAGGGAGTCAAAGACCGTTGGCATTACTTCCGGAAGCGGTTATTTGCCTATATCCAGGAAGGGTCCATTTGACAGTGATTATTTCTTCGAGAATGTTCGCGAGAACTACAGCCAGGCTGTGAGAGAAGTGTTGGAAAAGGCCAAGGAATGGTCATGTCGAAGTGACGCCATGCAGAACTACAGAAGTCTCCGTCAGCGCAACCTCAGATTAGATAATCAGGCGGTTAATATCTCAGAGGATCAGCATTCGCACAAGGTAAGCCTACGCTGTGTTCTTAGCCACTTCATATGTCGACGAATACACTTTTAATGGTAACAAAGATCTACATGAATTAACAACCATCTACATGAACATATTCACATTCACTCTTTATACGAAAAAGTTAAGTGCATCTTACCCGTTTTCTCTTCACGAAAAGGTTGTGATGGACGTCCACGACTTCACCGGCGGGGACGTGACAGTGCAGCTGGTGGGCGGGAACGAGCTCCTGGTGGAGGGGCAGGCGGAGAGGCAGGAAGACAACAAGGTCTCCAGGCTGAGCTTCGTCCGCTGCTTCCCTCTGCCCGACCACGTGGACCGCGACGCCATCACCACCGCCCTCTCCTCTGACGGCATCCTCACCATCATCACGAGGAAGAAATGAAATCCTCCGTGGATGCTCGAGACAGATATTTTGAGTCAGAGTTTTTTTCTAGCCTCGAGGGGAGAGTTTTTACAAGCGCTGCTCCTCTCCGGCCGAAGCTGAACCTTGTCTGGATGTCGGAAACTTTGCGTCTGAATGATACACATCTGAATGTCATTCCGGTAAAATAAAATTTAGTGTTACATGTGTTGTGTTCATTTCTTAATGTTGCATATTTCATCAGTGATAGCGAATTATATGAATATAGTGAGAATAAATAAAAGAAAAAAGGAAAAAATTATATACTTATGTACAAATACACCCATTTGCACACATCCTTATTTATGTGTGTATACACCCACACACACACATGCACACATACATATATATACAGACACACACACACAAACACACACACACACACACACACACACACACACACACACACACACACACACACACACACACACACACAGACGCTCTACCACTGCTACACAATCCACTAAAAGGAGTGTGCAACTATGTCTATGGAAGATACATAGCTTCCATAGACACTACCCATCTACTCATGCATGAGTAAGGATAGCGAAGCTTTACACATACTCCCCGTGAGCACTCGGTAGATATTGATAGAGCAGATCAAATCAGAAATCAGAAATCTTGAGGTGTATTTAATGAAAGATGGAATAATGCACTACCGCAGTCATATGATGAATAAATAACCTCTCTGATAGGGACTCGGACCCTCGTCGTTGCAGGCATGTATATATATATATATATATATATATATATATATATATATATATATATATATATATATATATATATATATATGTGTGTGTGTGTGTGTGTGTGTGTGTGTGTGTGTGTGTGTGTGTGTG